CCTAATAAAAGGATTAAAGCAAGTGGGTCCAATAAAATTTGAAGTTGCTCCCCCTCCCTTGCAAATGTGCGAGAGGAATTTCGTTGTCGAGGCTTCATCTTCCCAGTATTTAAATCTTCAGAACTTCCTCCTCTAGATTTGAACGAGAAGGCACGTCGACAGTGATATATGTCGCCCGAGGCAACGAGACGGCGGGCAGAGGCATGAAAATGACGATGGTGAGGCTCGTCGGAGAAGAGGGAAGGAGATGGAATGTCTAATCACACTAAAAATATTATTAAACTAATATATTTTATCAAATTGGAGCGTCGACACTGTTCATGTTGGAAAAATCAGTAAAAAAATGAATTGAAATAAAGCTTTGCCGCGGAGAAATCACTGTCCTAAAAACGAAATTTTGGCTCGACCGTCGTGTAATCGAGATTTAATCATTCGCCCCCCAAAGTTAACACAGCAACTCCATGACATGTGCACTCTGTTGGTTTTTTGTCTTAATCTCGGTTAATTAATTTAATTAATTAGTATTTTGATGATAACAAACACACTTAGTATTATTGTTTTTGATGTGTAATAATTATTGTTATAAAACATAAATTTATTATGAACTCCAAAAATATTATATGATTTACTGATAATACATATTTTATTTATTGATAATTTTAATGTTTTAAAGTGTCCACAACCTAGAACTCGATACGATGATTCCAATGAATTTTGAATTACCCAAATCGAAGCTCAAATGAAGAAATTATGATCGAAAGAAGTTGGAAGAAAAATTACCCGGATGACGTGGCAACTGAATCAACTAAGTGGTCCAATAAAATGTTGACACGTGGCATGGTGTTAAAAAAAAGGAGAAAAAAAACAAAGTTATCAAGAAAGAAAAAAAAAGGTAAACATCACATTAACTGCATATTTGTATTTTTTTTAATTATATATATTATATTATATATATAGCCGTTTGACACATCCATATATAATATTTTTTTATTATTATTATTTTATTCAATTAAATCTCAACATTTCATTTTTAATCATTTGAAATTTAATGGTTCAAATTGATTTTGGTTTCAAATTAATTTCAATCATTTTTCCCCCTATTTAATCAACTCTTCTTCTCTCAAGATTTTAACAACTCTCCTCTCCAATTTTCTCTCCAATGTTTTCATGTTCATCTCTCAAAAATTTCAAATGTTATTCTAATTTCTTGTGAGAGAAATTTTTTATTTGAGAAATATTAGTGCTTCTAATTTTATTTCTCTTAGCCATTTGAGGGCTTTTGTTTGTAAGAATTTTTCTTACAAATTTGTTAGCAAAAATTTGTATATCTACGAGAGAGTTTGTAAGTTTATTCTCAAATTTCCATATTCTTTGTGAGGGTTGCTCTTGAGCCCGAAAAAGAGCATTTGTAACGGTTTGATCTTGAATCGTGGAAAGGATCGAGTTTCTTCTTGCTCCCGAAAAAAAAGAAGGTTTTATACCAGTTTGACTCCTACCGTGGGAAGAGTCAAAGTTTCTTAATCGAATACCCAAGAGAAGCTTGGAGAGTGGAGTAGGTCGGTTGTTGCCGAACCACTATAAAATTTCCGATGTCATTTTCTCTAACCCTACTCTATTTAATTTTTGCAATTAATTTTCTTTATTACAAATTGTATGAAATTAATTGTTTGAATTTGTTATTCATATTTATGGTCAAATATTTATATTTGAATTATTTGGTTGGTGAAATTAATTAGAGTGTTTGTATTTGAAATTTGTTATTTAATTCTGTGTTAAAATCATTTGTTCATAAAAAGTTTACATAATTGTTTAAATTGGGCCCACCATAGTAAAAAGTTCAAAAAGTTTCATTTAACCCTATTCACCCCCTCTAGGGTTGTCATACCGATCCAACACACTCGTGGCATGGAGCTGGAACAGATTCTACAATTACCCAATAGAAAAGTAGGAGAATCAACTCACCTTAGAAACCAAAACTAGTCAACTATTTATATAAGAAAACAATTTTATTTCTTGGTACTTCAAAAAAAAAAAATAGTAAAGTTATATTTACTGAAGTTTAATTTGGCAAGGTTTAAGTTTAAGTTTAGTAAATTCTAAATTTAACCAAATATAAATCTAGCAAAAGACCATCCCAATTAGTCATTCTCAACACTTCAATACGCCATTACCATATCCCAAGGAAGGAGCATTGAAGGATCTCTTAGAAGATAACTTGATTTCGAAGGTGTGAAGAGATGAATGGCACCATGAACAAGAAGATTGAAAGATTATTTTCTGTGGAGGTGTTTTTTTTATTCGTTTATGTTGATGCAGAAATTTGGCCTCTTGAGATTTTGCCGAATTCGCACCAATCTTCTATAATAAAAGGGATCGACGAGACCTGCAAAACAGAATAGCACTAAAGACTGGTGTGGCTCTTGCCACACAGGCTCTGATGCTTAAGTCAGAATCAGAGTAGTTGAGTATAAAGTATAGGGTGTTGTGAGCATACCTTTAGAGTTTAGCTTACTCTCGTATTTATAGAGGTCGAATCCTAATCCCCTTAGAATTTACATAAGTTAAATCCTAATGCACTCACGAGATCTAGACGGAGTGGGCCTCATGCTAGGCCCGTTCGTTTCATTGTGGACTTAAGGCCGAATCGAGAATCGAGGCGGGATGGTTCGGGATGAACCGTTAGGGTTCTCGGCCAGGGGGTCGAGAACTGCTTGGTGCCGAGGTCTGGTCGACGCCAACCACTGGTCAGTCGGGGGCTGGCTCAGGTTGCCACATGTCAGCCCTCTTTGGTTCGTCCCGCTTCTTGGCTTTCTTTCGGTCTCCTGTTGCCTAGCTAGATCTCGCTTATTTCCCTATAATAGTAGCCTCCACTCTCAACATAGAAGGCAAAATGTTAGGTCTTCTATATTGAGAGTACTTTGTCGATTGACTGTTCCATGAATGACTGTTTTGCGGAATAGTCCCCTTATTCTCTTGTCGTTTGTTGATTGTCATCTCACACGCTGATTTTTTTAGCCCCCAAACCCTTTTTTCGTAGTTGGCTGTAGTTAAGTCTCTTGGGCTCTACCATACAATTAGTTTTAACTATTTAGGTTTTTTCCTTGGGATCTAACTTTTAGTTGAGCTAGCTGTACCACCCTTAAGTTTCTAACATGTTTGGGCTTTGCCCATAGTTTTATACTCTAGGGTTTACCCTTGGGTTTCCAACCTATTTGGCTTTTGCCAATGGTTTTATACCTTGAGTCTAGTCGATACCCTTCTGTCGTTGTCGATTGTCGTTTCATGGGCTGGTCTTCCTAAGCTTCATACTATTTTGACATAGTTGGCTACAACCAAGTCTCATGGGCTCTGTTATACGGTTAGTTTTAACTGTTAGATTTTAGCATTGGGATCTAACTTTTAGCTGGGTCAGCTGTACCACCCTTCGGTTTCTAACCTGTTTGGCTTTTGCCTATAGTTTTATATCCTAGGGTTTACTCTTAGGTTTCTAACCTATTTGGCTTTCGTTAATGGTTTTATACCTTGAGTTTATCGTCTCATTGACTGCAATAGTTTGTTTCATCGTCACCCAAATTACATGAGACTACATTGTCCGTCAGCAGCATTATTGATGGGACAAAACATGATATGTAAACCATTGGGAGCATGGAATCAATAGGAAGTGATAGCGCATAATACAGAACGGTCTGCCCTAATTGGTGGGGAAATGATTGGAATGCTTCTGTTTCTGGAATGTTACGATTCAGTGAACTGCTTCCACTATCGTGTATTTCCTTCGGTACGACAGATACATACAATGGACTTCGGAAGGATGTTGAGGGCCTCTTAAAAAAAATCTAAGTCTATGGTCATCAAAGATATAATACTTCGGAACCTTGTACTGCAGATTGAACTTATATACACAGTGTATCAAGATGTTGAATCGGTCCGAATCTATTCGGGGAAGGCTGAACATAGCACTAATAAGCTCGTTATAAGTTATACTGTCGTCAACATCCAGACCTCCCATAATTCTACCTTCATATATAGATTGTGACTCATTCCACCTACCACCGTAGCTAACAAATAGGTAAGGCATCTTGCATGTAGAATCAGAAGCATTCAAAAACCGACAATTCTCGGGCGAAATTTCTTGTTTTGCGGGCGAGAATTCACAACTCGAATACAATATGATTCTCGCCCGAAAAGCTTATTATATGGTTTTCGACCGTGAATAACTCTAACTTAGCCCGAGAATCATGCAAAAATCCAGACAATAGATGCCCCAAACATGTCGTTCTCAAAGGAAAAAGAAAAAACACAAAAATGCACTCCACGTTTCCAAATAAACAAAAAAAAAAAGGCAGACATACAAATGTGCAAGTTTAGAGACGAAAAATGAACATTCTTTGTAAAGGAAATTTCACCTACCTCGTTGGTGTAAAAATTTTATTCATCTACAAGCAAACTACGTGGTCAAATGAAATAGTTACTTTCAAGGTGCAATATTCTTTTTGTTATCTGCAAAGTTGAGTACGAAGTGCACAGATGAAGAAGAGTGATTTGCTAAACAATAAACGTGTGGGAGAGTTGGTTGTTTGCATTAATTGAAAAACTGTAAATCTCGGGCGAAATAATACTAGTCAATGGCCGGGAATTCATTGTAAGTCAACCTCATTTTTCACCCATAAACAACCCAACATTATCATTTTTAACCAGTTTTCGGCTGGAAAAATTTGATTTCGCCCGTGAATTCATTGCAAAGCTACCTCATTACTTGCCCAATTTTTGCCCATCAACAGCCTTACATCATCATTTTTACAAACTTTCGGCCGGGAAAAATTCAAAATAATATTTTAGGGATGGGTTATTTGAGCACGTTGAAAACGGTTATTTGAGTCAATTTCACGAGCCACTCTCTTTAGAATACATAAAATAAAAAATAAATAAAATCTTATTTCTCTCAATTAAAAAAAAAAAGCACTGTTTAAACCTTATAGGGGGCATTTCAATCGCGAACCTGGCGCGTACTCGGTTGGCAGCTACGATTCTGCGGCGGATTTTAATCGACAATTTCGCTTCCTTTCCATTTCCATTTCCGTAGCGATCAATTCTTCCAATACGTTTCCACTTTCTTGCTGTTTCCCAACTCTCTCTCTACATTTCCCAAACCCACTGAAGCAAGCAACAACAATGGCGGACACCATGGACGACGATGATTACCTTCAAGAAGTAGTCTCCGAGCAGCGTTCGGAACTGCTTGCCGCCAAAACCCTTTTCTCTGACCTCGATTTGGCCTTCCAACTTCAATTGCAGGAGGCTATGAATGCCTCTCTTGATTCTAAACCATCGACTCAACCGTCTCCGTCGCGGAACAGGGTCGTTCCGAAGTTGGAGTCTGAAGATTCTTCCAGCGCTTTGGACTTGGCCACAACTCTTATGCTCGAGGACATTGCGCGGTTCGCCATGGAGTTCAAGGACCGGGAGCAGTGTCACACTGAGATGAGAAAGATGAAGGAGGAACTCGACCGTCGGATTCACGATCAGAACTTCGCGACCTACATCCGAAATGTTCCGGAGGATGAGTGGAGGAGGTATGGGGACAACTACGAGAAGCCGTACAGTGGGAGTTCTGGTTCTTCTTCCTCGTCGTCGTCTTCGTCTCCGGCGAGGGTTTGTTTGGATTCTGAAATTTTCAGGGTTTATTCGAAGGGGTTGATCAGCGAAGAGAGGATTAGAGATATGAAGGTGAGGGTGGCCGCGATTGGGGTTGCGGTTTGTGACCCTAAGGATAATCTGTTGTTTGAGAAGATGATGCCTTTGGAATCTGTGGTGGATGGTAAGGAGATCAACAGCGAATGTGCTGAGCTTGAGGCGCTTGTTGAAGGGCTCAATGTTGCTCTTATTTTAGGCTTGAAAAACGTCACTTTTTTCTGTGCAGACTATATGCTCTACCAGTATGTAAGTTGCTAGAATTTTTCTGCCGCAAAGAATGCCCCCCGAGTTGCTTTAACTTTTGTTTCATTTAATATTGTTCTTTGTTTGAAACAACTAATTTCCAAGAACCATGACATTTTGCAGTATTTTAAGATTACTGTGTATGGGTGTGAGAGTTCACTTGAAAGAAAAAAGGAACAGGGGAAAAGATATGACGTTTATAAGTACTCTGGGTAGATGTTTTCTTGTAAACAAGAATTCTCTTTGAGAACACAACCAAATGCTAGTGTGTGGGAGGACACCTTTGGAGCCTAGAAAAATGTGTACCGATTGTCAGTACTCAATTAGGGGAAGTAATTAGATGATTAAATAAATAGCTCTATGTAGAAGCTATAATAACCAAACAATCTGCAAGGTCCATCCAAATATACCCAATATAATAACAAGGAGAGAAACTCTTTTTTATGTAGCATCTTCATCTCCACTGTCCTTAGTGGTTGGCTGTATATAATGAACGAGGCTACTATGAAGTTATATGTTTTTAGCTGGATGTTAATATGCCATTTTTTATTCTATGAATTATTAATATGTCATTTTTTGTTCCATGAATTGCCAGATTTTCAGTAATTATTATTGACAAATAAACGCTTGTTGGGGTTTTCTGTGATTTATCTTAGAATTATCGTATTCTTAGTAATATTTTTAGGATAATTGAGTTTGGCGCATTTCTAAACTGACATCCGGTATTATTGGTGACCCTTTGGATTTCCATATCTAATACGAAAGGTCATGTATGAAATAATTGTGATTTGACATCATAGTTAATGTTCCTCTGGTTACAGCTTACAGGTCGGGTGCCTCCAGGAGCAAGCTCATTGGCAACGTTGGTTAATGAGGTGATTCTTCTCCAGAGAAGATTTACCTATTGTAACCCTTCCCTGGTGACACGCAACGATATGAAGTTTGCTTTCAAACTTGCAAGAGAGGCAATAGTTTCTCAGATCACCTGGCCTACAGAAGCTGGCAATGGAAAGTGCTTGAAGAAGGAAACTTGTATAATTTGCTTTGAAGATGTTCGTGTGGATCAGATGTTCTCAGTTGATGGTTGTTTGCACAGATACTGCTTTTCTTGTATGAAGCAGCATGTAGAAGTAAGGTTGCTAAACGGGAATGGGATGAAGGTAAATTGTCCTCATCAGGGCTGTACCTCAGGAATTAATATAGAAAGCTGTGGAAAGTTCTTGGAACCTAAGGTGATTGAGATCATGAGCCAAAGGATTAAGGAAGCTTCTGTGCCTATTCTGGAGAAAGTTTACTGCCCCTATTCCAGGTGCTCAGCATTAATGTCCAAAAGCGAGCTTTTAAAATACACTGAGGCTTCATTTATTGGTGCAGAACAATCTGGGGCAAGGAAATGCATGAAATGTAATCAGTTTTTCTGCATTAACTGCAAGGTCCCTTGGCACTATAATCTGACTTGCTATGACTACAGAAAGTCAAATCCTAATCCTCGTCCGGACGAGACTATGCTAAAGTCTCTTGCATCGAGGAAACTATGGCGCCAATGCGTGAAGTGTAACAATATGGTTGAATTGGCTGAGGGCTGCTACCACATTACCTGCAGGTGCATTATTTACCTTTTTCCATTTCACTTACTCCTTTTCTCCTTTGATGAACATTGCTGCTACACATATTCAGCTGCAAATCTTTCAGTTAAAGAAGCATGAATACTTTAGTTTAGCTAAACGTGTTTGTATCCAACATATGCTTACATAATAAACTGTGTGTTAGACACTAGTGATACGAATTGAATGTGAGTCCAAAACTTGTTACACACGTGAACCCTTGTTAAGCATGATAAATAGTAATAAGGACAAAAGTAATAAATTTTGATAGTAAGATACATCAAACTCATTCTTTTTAAGTATATAGGTACATAAATTTGTAAAGGTCAATGTAAATAGCAAAGGGTTTAGAGGGAATAGATTCAAACCATGGTGGCCACCTACCTAGGATTTAATATCCTACAAGTTAACTTGGCAACCAAATGTAGTAGGGTCAGGTGATTATTCCGTGAGATTAGTTAAAATGTGCACAAGTTGGCCCAGACACTCACGAATATCGAAAAAAACAAAGTGCATAAACTTATTGACTTTGAACTTCCTTTTGTTATTAAGATGATGTGTGTGTATATATCTCAAAAAATCTATATTAAATAAGTGTCCTTGTTGTTATGTTCGTGTCCAGAATTTTTAGAAGATGATGTCGGTATTCGTGCTTTTTAGGTGTGTACAGGAAAGTACAACAGTTAAAAATGTATATTTCTTATGCACCTAATGAACATTAATGTAATACAATACCATCTACTTTTCATGGAAGATGGATTATGGGTGACGGTGCCCGCAAGAGAGAATTCTTTTTAGTTAATGGATATACGTGACCACCTACATAAAGTTTAATATATATATATATACAAAAAAGCACCCGATCAAGTAGGTGCATTTAACGATTCGACTTTACTGTGGATAATTGATGTGGATTTGTCATCTCAAAGAAAATAATAATAATTGGCACTGATTTACTGAGCTCAGGTCAGCTTTAGGGATAATTTTATCTTAGTTCCATGAAAGCAAAGATGAGATGTTCATCGACAATGTGATGTTATTACAAGTTTCTTTCTGAAAGTGCACCTTGGAGTTTTCTTCTCCCTCTGCTCTAAATGTCTATTAATTCTGTTTGCAGATGTGGATATGAATTTTGCTATATATGCGGCGCCCCATGGAAAAACAAGAAGGGTACATGTACCTGTCCGATTTGGGATGAGCGTAACATCATTCGTGATCAACGCCAACAACGTCGAAGATGAGCTTTTGAGAAGTTCTTTCCCTGTTCAGTTTCTGTTTCTTTGCACTCTTTTGGAAGGTAGGTAGTCAAGACGCACACCAGAAATTATGTGCAGTCCTCTAGTTGGTGACATACTGATATTAGATCACAGTTTTTTTGTTAACTTTGAATGTTTCGTTTTCAAACATTTGTGAACTTGCAAGATAGTACAGGAGGTAGTCGATTTAAGGGAACCAATGGAAGAAAACAAGTGTAAAGAGCAAGTTTTTTGCCTGGCTTTTGACCTTAAGACTTTTTGTGTACAGTTTTCTTAATCCACAAATTTCTTTCATGAGCAGAAAATAAGTGTTGAAGAATTAGGAGGATTTTGGAAACATTCTCTGCGGCCAAAATGCAGTAGTTCTAGCTATTAGAGAATGTGTTCAAACCGCTGTGACTACTATCTAAAATTTAATATCCTATAAGCAAACACGGTTGTCTTGTGAGTACAAATTGGCCTGGACATAAAATGAAAATTTTATTCTAGCACTCATGGATCCTACGTCAGTACTTTTAAAATATTAGGAGTATAATGATTGTCTTGTGAGAACAAGTTGATTTTAAAATATTAGGAGTATTAGGAGTATAATGATTGTCTTGTGAGAACAAGTTGATTTGGATGTCAAAAAATTAAAAAAAAAATTATTCTAGCAACCAGAGATTCATGTATGAGATTTGAAAGTGGCGACTTAAAAGTGTATATTTAGCCTTAGAAATATATTTTTTTTATTAAAATATGTAATGAATATAAGGAAAGAATAATACTCTGAAATTGAATTAATGAATGAAATGAAGTTGTACCGACTTAAGGCAAGAATTAAATTGCTGTAAAACTAAAATAAAAGTAATAAATAGAAAGGTGGAAGTTCTAAACTATAGAATTCTACAAAGGTAAAAACTATGCTACTGAATGTTTGGTCACTACTGAATTTATAGAGTTTCTTGAATCGGTTGGATGGTTGAGAAATTGAAGAGATTCCACCTTGACCAATTGAGTCAAATTAAACATGTAGAGAAATGCGTCAAAACGCACTCAAAACTCGCGTTTCGCTTTGCCTGAATTGTTGCTCTAGTGCACCAGGTATCACAGTCATACTTTTTTCGACCTCATGGCACCATGATCTTACCTCGATCATGGCCAACCTTAAGGGAACTATAGTCCCAACATACTTTTCTTGCCCTTTGTGACTTCGTCGGACCTTAGGCAAAGTTCTTTCAGTTGAGATTTATGTCCTAAAGCACCGTAATTTATAAATATTTTATTATTTATTTGAAAAATATTTATTTAATTATTTTGATTTTATACCATATATATTATCTATTTTTATGAAAATCCAAGATTATAAATGTAATTTTGAACAGTATATAGTTGACATACAAGAGGATCATGTTCAATTTATAACTAGTATATGGATAAGATTGGGTGCCCTATTCTGGTAATACTATTGATACAACCCACTTTGTAACTATTACAGATGATTTGATCTAAATTATTTAATATTTCTTTGTAAATCCGTTAAAAGATCAGAAAAGAATTTCATAGGATGATCGTATGCAACTCGATCTTAATTCTAAGTGAGTTATGAACTCCTATCTATGAGGGCATATCCTTTGATTTATATGGGTGAGAATGATTTTTGTAGCCGAACATACTATTTTGGGGACTTGAACAAATATGGAACTCCGAACATAAGGTCTAAAAACTAAGGATACAGACCAGAGAGACAATACATGAGTAGAGAGAGAAGAAATAAATTCTTTATTTTTCAAATTCATGATCACAAATAAATTTTTTATTTTTCAAATTCATGATCACAGATGAGGAATAGAGGCACTATATATATATATAGGTTAGAGGAAACAATATCTAGGAATAATCTCCTACTTTCCTAAAAAAAAAAAGAAGAGATTTATTTGCTAAATTTAAACAAACAACCCAAACAACTTTTAAAACAATTTCTAACTAAGTCTACACAATCTAAACTTCTAACTAATTTAACACTCCCTCTCAAGCTGGACTATACTACAGGTTGAACAGTTTCAGCTTGACCAACAATCTTTCAAACACAAGCCTCAATAATCATTTTGTTAGGATATCTGCAACTTGATCTAATGATGGAACATACATCATGTTTATAATTTTCTCTTCAGTCTTCTCTAATGAAATATCTGTCAACCTCAACATGCTTAGTACGATCATGATCTACTGGATTATGTGCAAAATAACAATTGCAGCCTTGTTGTTACAATATCATAGTTCAAAAAGTCGAGCGACACGTCGACATGTCGATGTGTCGGCATGCTCGACATCGACACGGGGGGAAAAGTCGATTTCCCCCCATGTCGTTGATGGGATGTGAATCCCGGAGCGGAAGCGGATCTTTGTTCATGATTTTTTGAGAAAACAAAATAAATGTGCAAAGAAGAAAATACAGGGGAAAACTTAAATTTGAAGAACTTTTCTTCAACAATTCCCACCCGAACACCACCAAATGATCTTTCGTGCTATCCTCTTGGGTCTCGAGATCTCGCTTGTGGGAGCAATTCTTTGGAACGAGATGGGGAGTTTTGAGAGAGAGTCTTAGCTAGAGAGAAATCTTGGAGAGCTTTTCTTTGTTCTTCTCGTTCTGTCCCCACGTCACTTAACTGCCCACTCCCCTGCAATTTTGCAGGGGAGTTAAATATTAATATATATATTAATATTATTAATTAATAATTAATATATATATATTTAATTAATCATATTAATTAATAAATAATTATTAATTATTAATCTAATTAATAATTAATTAAAATATATATACATATTATATAATATAAATAAATAATTAACACTTAATTATTTATTAAAAAATAGAATCATATTCTATAGAATTTCTCTCGTATAACCTATAGTTGTAATGTACATCTTATCCGCATTATTTTTAACCTATAGTTTTAATATGAATCTTATTCATATTAATTTTATTTGAATCTCATTCAAATAATTTCTCTCATAATATATAGTTTTAATTTAGAATTAACTATATATTATAATATATCAATATACGTATATTACCTTGAGCAATTTGAACAGTTCAAATTCTTCCAAAAATTTGATCCTCGTTTTACCCGTTATGAGCTAGCAAGGGGATCTAATGGACCTATAGATCAGAAGCTCCAACAATACGAGATTAATCGATCAAACTCATTGACCGAGTTAATCAACATTCGTTAACTACGGGTCACTCCACTAAAGACCCGCAGTTGCACTATTCTCACTGCAGAATGTTTTCGTGTCCATGGATATACAACCATTAATGATAAGTCAATCCTTCACGAGTGCTCGTAACTCAAGTTGGGTCAAATTACCGTTTTACCCCTGAGTTACATCTTACTCCTTAAATACCACTGCTCCTCTAATGAACAACCCGGTTATGGTCCGACCAATAACCGGAAGTCCCTCTCGGGCCAATGAGAGGGTGGTGTCCCGTGTTCAAGTCCCGGAGTCAGCATTTAAGAGAACACTCATCTACTCCCCTAAAGTCGGGGAGGAATGAATTCCATCTTGTGAAGTTATGTTCCCAGCTCCCCACTCGGTCTCGTCCCTAAAATGGTAGGAATATTGAGTCGGCAACTCGGGCCACTCTCATCCATACAGATCAAAGGACGAGCCCTCAAGGGCAGGAGTCCATAACTCACTCAGGATTGAGAATGAGTTGTTTGGTCATCCTATGAAATAACAATATGTTAGTCAACGGTGTTACATCTAGAGATTGTCTATTTCACAATCTGGTCTTATACAAACTCATTGTATAGGATACCCCCACTCGGATGTCTCCACACGAACGACCTGGATCGAGTCGTCTGTAACATTTACAAAGTGGGTCGTATCTATAGTGTTGCCAGGATAAGGTACCCAGCCTTATCCATATACTATAGACCCTTTAGGTTATTCACGGGACATTATCCACTCGAATATCAGGGGTATATCAAATATATACCTCGTATATCAGGGGTATATCAAATACATACCTAGTATATCAAATATATACCCAATATATATACTGTCCCGATTACATAATAATAACCTTGGATGTTTAGTTTATTGGATTTTGGACAATGCAATGCTATGAATTCAACAATAAACTTATTGAATAAAACTTTATTGAATATACATTTATTTTTACATAAATACAAACTACGAGTTTAGGGCAACACACCCAACAGTCGTTGACATGTCGACTCAAATGCGACATGTCGTTTTTTATTAGTTATTTTATTTTCGTCTTCTTCCTACTATGCCACTATAGTCTATAATTTCTCACAACCTCGATGATTGGAATCTTAGTCTGTTCAATACAACATTCGGATTTTAATATTGTATAACTAATAAGATTCAAAATTTGCTTTATTGATAATTTATGTTGTGGGATTGGGATCGGCCAAAGAAATGGGCCTCTACGGGCCAGAAAGGCCCAACCAAGCAACGACAAAGGGAAAACCGAGCCAAGAGGGCTCGGTCCCGACCCCTGCTCGGCGCCGACCAGGGCTCGACCCATTGGCCGGGCGCACCCTCTCATCTCTCCCGTTGGTTGAGGTGCCCCGATCCATGAAATCCAGCGATCCAATAACAACGGGTTAGATTGACTCAACAAGAAGGTTCCAGAAGACAAAGTTCCTATAAATAGAACTATTCCTAGAGGTAAGCAAATAAACCCTAATTACTTTACTGAGTAATTCTCCCAACGCTGACTTAAGCATCGGAGCCCGTGTGACAGAAGTCACATCAGTTTAGGGTTGCTCGGTTTTGCAGGTATTCGGTCCCGTGATCATCAAGTTTGGTGCGTGTTTGGCGAGAACCAAGGAAGCTAAAATCCCAGTATCACCAATTTCTAATCCAATCTAGTCCTTAGTTACACAATTGAATAATATATGTGAAATATTGACATATATAAAGATTGAAATAATCTTAGAAATTTCAAAAAAATAAAATATTATTATATACAAATAGTGGTGATACATGAAATAGAATAGGTAACTTAATTAATTAATACAAAAAAGATGACCTCGGAGGATCTAGTCCACTATCTTGATAACTTTGATATAAATTACAATAGTTCTCCTAGATCATTCTAAACTGAAATTTTTGAAGGAGGTAGTTGTTTAAATGAGTAATATAAGTGAATTAGAGTGTGCTTGGAAAGTGTGTAAATCTGATTAGAAAGTTGGATTGATGATTAATTTGAAAATGTGTTTGAAAAATGTGTAAT